CCCGGCCGCTTCCCGGGGGCCGCGCTGGGCCCGGCGGTGGCGGCGGCGGCGGCGGCGGCCGAGGCTCTGGGGGACGGCCCCGACAGGAAACCGGAGGTGCCGGAGCTGGAGGATCCCTCCTCGGATTGGCGCCGGGGCGTGGATCTCATGGCCCCCCACGGCGGCGGCCCCGGCGGCGGCCCCGGCGGCGGCGTCGCCCCCCAGAAGCGCAAGCCCGACATCGTCCTGCCGCTGTTCTCCCGCCCGGGGATGTACCCGGACCCCCACAGCCCCTTCGCGGTGTCCCCGCTGGCCGCCGGCCGCGGGGGGGTCCTCAACGTGCCCATCTCGCCGGCGCTGTCGCTCACGCCCACCCTGTTCTCCTACAGCCCCTCGCCGGGGCTCAGCCCCTTCACGGGCAGCAGCTGCTTCTCCTTCAACCCCGAGGAGATGAAACACTACCTGCACTCCCAGGCCTGCTCCGTCTTCAACTACCACCTGAGCCCGCGGACTTTCCCCCGCTACCCGCTGGTGGTGCCGCCCCTGCAGTGCCAGGTGCCCCTGGAGGAGCAGCCCCAGTTCCCCATCAAGCTCCAGCCGCCCCCCGTGGGCCGCAAGAACCGGGAGAGGCCGGGCAGCGCCGAGGAGCCGGCCCAGCTGAGGGTGAAGGTGGAACCCCCCGCCGACAGGGAGCCCCAGGAGCCCGAGGGGAGAGATGGGCAGGAAGGTTCCGGAATGATGGAGCGGGACGAGGAGGAGGAGGAGGAGGACAAGGGGCCGGTGTTCGCCCGCCCGGCCGCTCCCTCCTGGCTCGCCCAACCCACCCAGTCCTCCTCGGAAGACCCCCCGGAGCAAGGGGAGAGCAGCAGCAGCAGCAGTGGAGGAGGAGGAGGAGGAGGAGTGGGGGGCGCGGAGAAGCCCCCCCGGGATGGCAGCGCGGAAGGGGGAGCTCAGGAGAAGAGGGAGGACGCCCTGATGCCCCCCAAGCTGCGCCTGAAGCGCCGCTGGAACGGGAACGGGGACAGGGACAGGGACAGGGACAGGGACAGGGACAGGGACAGGCAGGTGGAGCCGCCCGAGCAGAGCGGGCTCTGGAACGGCCCCCCCAAGGCCGTGGCCGCCGCCTCCGACGCCTGAGCCGGGCCGGGAGCGGCCGAGCCAGGGTGGGGGGAAAAGGGG